GGTATCATTTCGTACGAGAAATCATAGAAGAAGGTGGAGTCACGGTGAAGAAAATTCATACTACGGAGAACCCTGCTGATATGCTGACAAAAGTGGTGACTGCGGTCAAGTTTCAACATTGTTTGGATTTGATCAACATTGTTGAACACTAAAGATTGAAGATGAAGACACAACCAAAATTTGTTATTGAGAGAAAATTGAAGATGTGGAATTTTGCCAAGGTGGAGATTTGTTGAAATTGTCAAAAGTCCCACATCGGTGGATGACAATTTTGAATGAGAATTTCACCCTATAAAAGGAGGCGTAATGTTTAGGATTTAAACACACCTCTCATTTGCCTTTTTTATCTTCTTAAGGCATTTGTATCTTCTCTCTTTAGTATTATTTCACTTGTAATTTTGGAGTGAAATAAAATATTCATTGTGTCCGAGGAAGTAGGCAAAATTGGCCGAACCTTGTAAATTCTGGTGTTCTTTTATTGTTATCTTATTGTCTTGTTTATTATTTAGTGATTGTCATAATTTTTGGTATAGTAGTTGTGACTCATTCACACTATATACATTTGGCTTCCGCAACAGTGGGTGTGTGTCTAAATTTTGGTTCACTTACTAATTATACTAAGATTATAATAAATGAATTATTCATGCAGTAAATTAGAATATTGAGACAATTACAGTTCTTATTCCACCTTCTGTTTCACAATATAATACCCAAATTACTACATGCAAAATCTAATGAGGCTAGTTAAACAATATATTAAATTATATGAGTGATTATTTGATCCTGTACAATTAACCAAATATTGTATAGTTTATGGCGAATATAACGCTGTAGTTATTTTTGTGGATCGTACCAGAAAGGCAGAAACATTGCGTTCGCCCATGAATAGGTCAATAGTTACTTTTGAGCCCGCTATTTAAAATATATAATTATAATTTATAATATATTTAAAGATTAATCAATTTATCCAAACTTCAAAACTAATTATCCTAAATTTGGAGAGTCCTGAATTTCTGAGCTGTTAATTTGAAATTCAGGACTAAGTGTCCTGAATTTGTGAACTACTAATTTAAAATTTAGAACATAAGATTTGAACTTCTTGACACAATTTTTGAACTTTAGAACACGATATCCTGAAGTTTGAACTTTGAGGTTTAAACTCTAGGATGTCGTGTCCTGAAGTTTGAGCAAAATTGGCTAATCTTTAAGTTATTGTAAACTGTGGATATATTTTAAACACCATACTTAAAAGTGTAAAAATTGCACGGGGCGCCTTATTTGGTCGCCCCTTTTTACCTTACACTCGTTTTGTTTTTCTGTTTGCATCCGTACCCATTTTTTTGTTAAAAGCGTTTTAAAAAGATGATTTTGCCCTTCTTTAATAAAAGACTATTGACAAAACTGTAGACTGCATGACAAAATTTCAGTATGTTTTGGTATGAAATTTTAGCAAATGAACTAAATAACTTTAGCATGCATTAGAAAAAACTAATTAGAAAATTACATACTGCAAGACAAAAACTTAAGCATGTTTAATCTGAAGTTTGAGCAAATGAACTAAAAAACTTCATCTTGTTTAGACTGAAGTTTCGGATAAAACTCATGACAAAACTGTAGACTGCATGACAAAATTTCAGCATGTTTTGGTATGAAGTTTTAGCAAATGAACTAAATAACTTCAACATGCATTAGCAAAAACTCATTAGAAAATTACATACTGCAAGACAATAACTTAAGCATGTTTAGTCTGAAATTTTAGCTAACGAACTAAATAACTTAAGCATGTTTAGTCTGAAATTTTAGCAAATGAACTAAAAAACTTAAGCATATTTAGTCTGAAAATTTAGTAAATGAACTAAAAAACATAAGCATGTTTAGTCTGAAATTTTAGCAAATGAACTAAAAAACTTAAGAATATTTAGTTTGAAGTTTTAGCAAATGAACTAAATAACTTCAGCATGTATTAGCAAAAATTCATTAGAAAATTATATACTGCAAGACAAAAACTTAAGTATGTTTAATCTGATGTTTTAGCAAATAAACTAAATAACTTAAGCATGTTTAGTCTGAAATTTTAGCAAATGAACTAAATAACTTAAGCATGTTTAGTCTGAAATTTTAGCAAATGAACTAAATAACTTAAGCATGTTTAGTCTGAAATTTTAGCAAATGAACTAAATAACTTAAGCATGTTTAGTCTGAAATTTTAGCAAATGAACTAAATAACTTAAGCATGTTTAGTCTGAAATTTTAGCAAATGAACTAAATAACTTAAGCATGTTTAGTCTGAAATTTTAGCAAATGAACTAAATAACTTAAGCATGTTTAGTCTGAAATTTTAGCAAATGAACTAAATAACTTAAGCATGTTTAGTCTGAAATTTTAGCAAATGAACTAAATAACTTAAGCATGTTTAGTCTGAAATT